ATACCCACTCTTAATTTAAGTCAAGTTTGTTCTACTCATTTAATGGAGTTGGCTAAATAGAAACTCAAATAAGTGCTCGTTAATTATACTAATTAACAAATGAAACACACAAGCTGTGTGAGGCCCAGGTAGAACCTGGCGTGACTGAGGGCAGGCGGCAGGTGCGTGGCGGGCAGGGAGCTTCGCAGGGGGAGGGCTCTGCTGCCAGCACCTGTGGGGAGGGGCGGGGAGGGGGGAAGCTCTGTCTGAGGTTTCTCCCTCACTCCTGGCGAGGACAACTAGGGCATTCCAGAGTAGCAGAGAGGAAAGACCGCATCCCTCGGCCCGGGGCCCACCGAGGCGCTCCCAGACGCGTGAAGACAGCCAGCGGAAGAGGCTTCTTCATCCTGGTTTGGGCTCTGTTTTATTCACAAAGGGACGTATTTGGCCAGCGTGCCATCACAGGCCTTTTGGTGACGCTGGGATCCACAGTCCAGCTCCAGGGGCCCTTCCTTGGATGAGCCCTCCTTGAACACAGGTCAGGTCCTTCCCGGAATCATGGCGCTGTTACTCGGGGACTGGGGCGGGGATTTGATTTATCCCCCAGAACCTTCCAGAACTCAGGCTGTCTGAGGACAGCAACTCCACCTGGGCTCTGTTGCCCCCAGCGTGCCCAGGTCCAAGTACAGAGTCTCACACACAGCAGGTGCTCAGAGACACCTGGAGGGCAGTGACCACAGCGGTCCCTTCTCCCCACGGTGCCGGCTGAGTCTAACCCATTCCCACTTCCATTCTGATGGCTTTGGAAGGTGACGGGATCAGAAATCACCCCACACAGGTGAGAAGTCTTTTTTTTTTTTTTCAAAGATTTATTTATTTACTTGAAAGTCAGAGTTACACAGAGAGAGGAGAGAGAGAGAGAGAGAGAGAGAGAGGGAGAGAGGGAGGGAGGGAGACAGAGAGGTCTTCCATCTGCTGGTTCACTCCCCAGATGTCCGAAATGGCCAGGTAGCTGTGCAGATCCGAAGCCAGGAGCCAGGAGCTTCTTCCAGGTCTCCTACGTGGGTGCAGGGGCCCAAGGACTTAGGCCATCTTCCACTGCTATCCCAGGCCACAGCAGAGAGCTGGATCGGAAGTGGAGCAGCCGGGACTAGAACTGGCACCCATTTGGGATGCCGGCACTTCAGGCCAGGGCGTTAACCCACTGCATGCTGGCCCCAAGGAGAGAAGTCTGTTGAGAGATTTTCCTTACCTTCAGTGAGGATGAACTGATTGGAAGTCTCTCAGGCGGAGTTGAAGTCTGGGGTTGTCCTGGGTGTCCTGGAGACCTTGAAGCCTGATCCTGATTTACCTAACCCCGAGGGAGGTGTAGCAGGCAGAGGCAAACAAGCAAAGAACACCCACCAAAACGACCAACTCCTTCGTTATTCATACAACCAGCGCACAAAGGTGATCAGGCACCCAGGAAAACGCCCAGAGCACCCATCAGCAGAGATCGTAGTAACAGAAACAGACCAGCAGGAAGGTCAGGCGTTAGTCTACAGCGTACATGCTTGGACGCCAGGAAACGCGTCTCCACCCTTCTATATATTTTAAGCTGAAGGACCGTGAAGACGCTACCTACCCAGACTGGTGATAAAATGGCACGGCGACTTTGTTCAAAGAGTAGCCTGGCTGTTCCTCCAAAAGCCCAAGTTAAGAGTTACCTTCGAGGCCGGCGCCGCGGCTCACTAGGCTAATCCTCCACCCTGCGGCACCGGCACACTGGGTTCTAGTCCTGGTCAGGGTGCCGGATTCTGTCCCGGTTGCCCCTCTTCCAGGCCAGCTCTCTGCTGTGGCCCGGGAGTGCAGTGGAGGATGGTCCAAGTGCTTGGGCCCTGCACCCCATGGGAGACCAGGAGAAGCACCTGGCTCCTGCCATCGGATCAGCGCGGTGCGCTGGCTGCGGCGGCCATTGGAGGGTGAACCAACGGCAAAGGAAGACCTTTCTCTCTGTCTCTCTCTCTCACTGTCCACTTTGCTTGTCCAAAAAAAAAAAAAAAAGTTCCCTTCAGATGGGGCGACGGCACTGCTGGGTGTGTGCGGGGGCTGGGAGCACACCTCTGCACGAGTGTTCACGGCAGCATCGCTCCTAATGCAGAAGAGCGCCAACAACCCAACCGTCCACCACGCCGCTTCCGTCCGAGGAGGAGTGAAGTGGCCCCAGGGCGCGGCTGCAGGCTAACCTGCCCCTTGGGATGCTGGCATCCCGTGCGGGAGCTCGAGTTCCAGTCCCAGGTGCTGTTTCTGATCCAGGTTCCTACTAACGCGCCTGGGAGGACAGTGGGAGAAGGCTCTCGTCCTTGGGCCCCGGCCACCCCCGCGGGAGGCGGGGAGCGAGCTCCGGGCTCCTGGCTTCAAGCCTGGCCCAGTTCTAGCTGTTGTGGCCGTTAGGAGAGCAAACCAGCAGATGGAAGCTCGCTCTCTCTCTCTCTCTGCCTCTCCTTCTTTCTCTGTCAGCCTGCCTTTCAAATATGTAAATAAATTTTTTTAAAGAAAAAGAATGAAGCAGTGATGCACGCTACGGTGCGACTGAACCTCAGAAACATTGAGACACAAGCTACGTAGGTGCTGTGGCGCCACTTACACCAAGTCCCCAAAGCAGGTCAGTGCAGGAGACGGACGTACATTAGTGGTGCCAGGCCTGAGAACGGCGAGTGGACAGTGGCTGCTCACCCCTGCCCACACACTAAAAGCCACTGAATCCCACACTTGAAAGGTCAAGTTCATGATAAGTGAACCTTACCTTGGTTTCTAGGCTCTGTGGGACCAGTCGAGTAAAGAACACCGTAGCCTTCAATGAATACACTGAACTACTCCCAGCGCCTTGCTAGGAGAGTGCCTTCTGTTTACTTGCTCTTTTGCTTTTTTAAAGATTTGTTTTTTGAAAGGCAGAATGACAGAAAGGAGGGCGAGGCAGACAGAGACTGAGCTTCCCCCTACTGGTTCAGCCCCCAGACAGCTGGAGCAGCCGAGGCTGGGTCAGCTGCAAGCCAGGGCCCAGAACTCAGAGTCTCACACAGCGGCCGGGGCGCAGCTCCTCGAACGTCACCTGCTGTCTTCCTGAGGCACGGGACCAGGGAGCTGGGCCAGAGCAGAGCTGGGCCGCGGAAGGGCCGAGCCCGTGGGGCCATGGTGCCGGCCGCCCCTCGCCCGTGGCGAGTAAGGCCTCTGTGTTCACCTGTTCACGGCGCTCCCCAACACAGGCAGCCTGGAAATGGTGGCACCAGTATCAGCCTCCAGGAGGTCACACAGGGCTATGCAGAACCCCACAAGTGAAGCACACTAACTGAATCACAAACTCGGTGGGATCATCAGACAGCCGGCGGAGAGCGAATTTGGTGGCAGGTCGGAAAACAACGAGATATTCTTGGGTGGGGGTCAAACTTATTTTCAAACGGTTCAGCAAAAACCTGTTCCTACAACGCACATGTAGACTCAAACGTGTTTAGCAGGAGAGAGAGGAAGCAGAGCTGGAAACCGTGGGCATTCAACGCACCACTGCACACTCCGGTCTCCCGGACACCACCACTGCTGTCCTGCCCCCGCGGCGGCTCTCGGCGTCCTCCAGATCTCTGCTCCGGCGGCCCAGGGCTCTGCCACACTCACTCCCTTGTGAACTCCGTCAGCCCCATGGCTTTAAATAACCAGACACGAACTCCCGGCCTGCGTCCCGATCTGGACCTCGCGGGTCCAGCCGTTGAACTAGCATCTCCACCCGATTACCGGGCAAACATCCGAAATTCGCAAACCCAAAAATGAGCTCGAACCTCAGTGGCCGGCAGCTCCAGGCTCCTCTGCCGCTCAGACGGGCCCCACCGTGGGCTCGCGCCGGACCTAGCTGCCTCCCGTGCGTTCTGCGACTCCTTCAACCATCACCGCGCACTTCCGCCATCACGCCGCCCTGCTCTGAGCCTCTCATTCGCTTTCCCGCTCCACCCACGCCCCTGCCCACGCTCCTCGCACGGTCAGAGCGGTCATTTAGAATCTAAATCACGCCCTGTCATTTTGCACCCTGAACCCACGGTGGTTTTTGTTTCACAGAGGAGAAGCGCGCGTACGTGCCGCGGCGCTGGAGGACCTACTCCACGCCCTGCTCTTGGTGCCATCGCCCTCGGCTACTGCTCTGCCCCGTGCGCGCCGCACTGCAGCCAGCGCGGCCCCTGCCGCCCCCCCGCCCCCCGACACGCCGAGCGTCCTGCGCGGCCCTCCAGCCCTGGCCCTGCACCAGTCCTCTGTCTCCTAAACCCAGTTTGCAGGAGGAAAAGTAGGTTATCTGCAAGTGGCGCCCAGCCGTTACTGTCCTTTTTCCAATGCCCCGTGTTTCTTCAACGTAACCTGGGCCCACTTGACCCTTAAGTTGGCCGCTGCTGGAACAGAGCGATGGGCACGTGGACCCATTACACCACCCTCCGGAGAGTAAGCCGGAGCGGCCAGTGTGTTCTAGCGGGCAGCGCGCTCTAGAATTCCCGCACTAGAGCACTTCTCCCCGTAAGCAAGACACTTCTTTTGGAAAGGCCGCCTTAATGAATTAAAAACATACACGTAAGATGAAAAATAGCAAATTTATTTTATGAAATAGAAGGAAAAGGATTCACCTGAATTCACCTTGCAACGCGCAAACAGCACAGGCCATCCGCACCCTACTGGCTTCCACTGAGCTCGCCCACTGCGGCACCTGCACCCGGCCTGCAGAACCAGGACCTGCAGGAGCGCGCGTGGCGCTCACGCCCCAGGCTGTCCTCCCAGGATCGGGCGGGGCTCCACGCAGCCGGAAAACCCGGGGCTTCCCCTGCCGGCTCAGCCAACGGTCCTCGGTGCTCATCTGTAACTCGGGTCTTAGCCAGGCCTCACTGGAGCTCAGTCCAGCTCCGGTGAAGCAGAGAGCACAGAACAAGGTTCCCGGCCTCAGGCGAACTGCACCTGGTATCTGATCTAAACTTAAACTTCTCTCTCTGAAAAACAAACCACTCAGATGAACGCATTGCTGTGAAAGATGCTAATGAGCTGAGAGGGGCACACTCCACCGTCCCCTCTCCCCCGCCCCACGGTAACAGGGGTCGGGACTCCCCCACCCCCATCAGGTCTTTGGGAAGTGGAACCAGGAGTCCCGGGGTCAGAGCGGCTGGGAGCCGCCCTCGCCCTCCCCGCCCTCCCCGCCCCCGCTCATGCTCAGCAGGTGGCTGTTGACCGCGGTCAGCTCCTGGATCACCAGGCTCAGGTCCTCGTGTAACCTGGCGATGGCGTTCCTCACCTCCCCCAGGAGGACTTTGACGGAACTGTTGGCTTCGGGGTCCCTAGGCAAGCTCCCGGTTGTCTGAAAACTAGAACAGGACAGAGAGGTGAAGCAGTCTAGGTTCTGGGTGGACAGCTCGACCCAGTTACTGCTGGCGAGGCGACTCCTCTGCTGCTTGGCGGGGTCGGAGCTGGCCGGGGGAGCTTCCGCCGGGTTGGGGTTGCCATTCTCGTCGTTGGCCAAAGACGCAGGGCTCTCGGGAGCGAAGGGGCAGCGGGCCTGGGTGGGCGCAGCTCCGTCTTTGCGGGAGGCGGAGGAGGGCCGCTCACGGGGCAGAGTCCAGAATGGAGGTCCGGCCAGAAGCGGGTGCAGGAGCTGGGCGGACTTGTCCGGAGAGGCGGACTCCGGCGACGACAGGGACAGCGTGGAACGGGACGAGGCGCCCTCGGACGTGGCTGCCGCTGAAATGCACAAGAGAAGGATGTATCAGCACACGGTGAGAGGGATCGCTGGAGGAATTTCATACTGCAGACTCTGCGAAGTCTACATACATACACTACTTCGAATTTTACAGTTAAATATTCATAATACGACCCCCCCCCCCAAGAAAAAACCCAGGGCAGGAAACAGAGAACCTGGATGGATCAGATGTCAATACCACCACAGCACTGAAGTGAAAGCAGGCTGTGACATTCACCGTGACCCCGCAACCCCGCCCAGCAGGTGTTCACGGCACCTGAATCAGGCACAGGAGGGCGTCCCCCCCCGCCCCCCCCCCGCCGCGGTGCTCTAAGCTGATATTTAAAGCAGAGTCGCAGAAACCTGCATTTTAGATTCTTTCATTTGTTTTTTCCCCTTTCAGACGATGGCAAAATGAGCTGCCAGCCACAAAGAACCCAGGGCTGTGCGTCGGGCTCATTTCTCTACGGTCAAGCGCCAGAGGGCTGAACCTCACTCGTCCGAGCTCCACAACCCCTCGGCACACACACATTCCTCTCACCAAGAAGTCACACGTAACATCAAAAGCACTCTATTTTCCAAAAGCCTAGATTTGAGAAGATTCTTACTTCTTTGCAGACAAACCCGTAGGCGGTCACTTCTCTGGGACTTGGCTGAGCGTCCCCCCCCCCCCACGGTGGGAGGAGCAGGCCAGCCGTGACACCAGGCGGGAAACGGACTCCTCCTCCAGGCAGACCGCAAGGTTGCAGGGGCTCACCATGCCCACTGAAGTTCTCAAACACGGGGCCTTCATGCCCTCCTTGAACTTCCTGTGCGTTACGTTCACGTGATACAAATTGGTGAAATCCAATTCTAAAGTCTTTGCAAGCAACGGCGACCCTGGCACCTTTTCACAGAGAGACTTACTCCCTGCAAGTCACAGAACACGGACACGCACGCTCACCGCCTAGCACGCGAGGCTTCTCTGTATGACATTTTTGCTTTACGTATTCGTGACGCGTCTGAGATTCAACTGGATCTCCTTTAAGAAAACGTGGTCAGGACGGGCGGCTCCAAGTGCCTGCTTCAAAGCCCTGCACGGGCCCATCTCCACTTCTCAGGAAAATCTCCAATCACACGACTTGCTGGGGCGACGTGAGTTTTCTCAGCTGCTGGAGCCACACCTGGAGGGGAAGGCAGGGGCCTTTGTTCGCCAGCCGTCAGTCAAACCAAGGCCAGGCTAACCCAGCCACTCCCTCCGCGGGCTAAAGGCTGGTCCACGGCAGGACGGGCGACGGGGAAGTCTCGTGTCTGCGTTCGAGCGACACTGCCGCACCGTGGAGGCTGGCCTCCTGCCCTGGCTCTGCTTTCCACACCCACACGTCCACTCTCCAGCGGCCACCTTGCAGGATGCCCGAGAAGCCAGGGTCCTGGGAGCTCGCGTGACTGCACTCTCCCTGCAGCCGGCTGGCGATCTGTTACACACAGGAGCCCTTCGCTCAGAGTTCGGAAGCCCCGGTCACTGCTGTCTTGTTCCCAGCTCTGCTGCTCGGGACTTGGAGCCATTTGGCGCGTCTTTTTTTGTTTTGTTTTTAGTTTGAGATTTGTTTACTTACTTGAAAGGCAGAGGGAGACACAAGAGAGGAAGAGAGGGAGAGAGGGAGAGAGGGAGAGCGGGAGGGAGAGTAAGTGAGCTCATCTCTATCTGCTGGTTCCTCTCCTAATGGCTGGGCTGGGCCGGGCCAAAGCCAGGAGTCAGGAGCTCCATTGGGGTCTCCCTCGTGGGTGCAGGGCCAAGCCCTTGGGCCATCCTCCACTGCTCTCCCAGGCCACAGCAGAGAGCGGGATCAGAAGAGGGGCAGCCAGGACTGGGCCAGCACTCTGATGTGGAGGCTGGGGTTGCAGGCAATGGCTTAACCTGCTCTGCCCAAGAAAAACTGTTTTCAAAGTTGTCCAGTCGCTTCACAGTGTCTCCTCCCAGCTCTGTGTTTGCTTTTGTCTCAGTAGGTCCTCTAGATGGCTGGCATTCCTTGTTATTTGGTGATGACCCAGAATGGCGAATTAAAAACGCGTGGTGAGCTCCGGGTGTGGTAAAGGACCCGTGGACTTCCAGGTCAGCGTGCGGTCCCACGCTGGGAGCCACCACGCTTCCTTCTGGGGCGAGGCAGGCTCTAGCAAGGCAGGTTTTCCTAGCCCTGCCCAGGGTGGGAGGGGCTGGCTGCCAGGGCTGGAAGAGATCCAGCGTTCCGCATCTGGTTTGCCTGCCGTCCCTAACCCTGCAGTTGTGGTTCAAGTACCCACATCCTACCTCCAGGTTCAGCCAAGGGCGGAGGTGGGCAGGTCTTCAAGGCAACTGTTTATTGTTGGCCAAGATGGAGAATTCGAAGGGCCTAATTGCTTTTCAACTTGTTGTTTCCTAACGGTTTTTGGGCATGAATTACAGAACACGTGTGTGTGTGTGTGCGTGTGCGTGTGTTTAAACATTTATTTTATCTTTATTTGAAGTGCAGCGTTACAGACAGGGAGAGAGAACGGGGCGGGGAGGGAGTGGGGGAGAGATCTTCCACCTGCTGGTTCACGCCCCAGATCCCCAAATGGCTGCAAAGGTTAGGGCTGGGCCAGACTGACTCCAGGTTCTGCTGTTTTCCCAGGCACATTAGAAGGGGCTGGATGGGCAGTGGGGCAGCCGGGACTCCCACCTGTTCCTATATGGATAACGGCACTGCAGGAGGCAGCTTTACCTGCTATGCCACAACACTGGCCCTGGAATAGCTTTTATAATCTCATTTTTTAATTTTTTTAAAGATTTATTTATTTATTTGAAAGTCAGAGTTACACAGAGAGAGAAGGAGAGGCAGAGAGAGAGAGAGAGAGTCTTCCATCCCCTGGTTCACTCCCCAGATGGCTGCAATGGCTGGAGCCACACCGATCCAAAGCCAGAAGCCAGGAGCTTCTTCCGGGTCTCCCATGTGGTGCAGGGGCCCAAGCACTTGGACCATCTTCTGCTGCTTTCCCAGGCCATAGCAGAGAGCTGGATGGGAAGTGGAGCAGCCGGGACTCGAACCAGCGCCCACATGGGATGCCGGCACTGCAGGCGGCGGCTTTACTCACCACGCCACAGCGGCCCCAACGAAAGAACTTTCTGAAGTCATGGTTCTCTGCACATGCCAGGCACTGCTGAGTGTCTCGCTGCTCGTGGGGCCCAGGCACGGTGACCACGACCGTGTGGCAGCAGAGCGCCCGTCAGAAGACAGCACCGGGTGCCTGGAGGCGAGTCTCGGACCCCAGGATGCGGCAGGGCTGTCAGTGCAGGCGCTCCCGCCGTGGCGGACACGGGAGGACTCTGCTTCCCACGCCTGCCCACCTTTCTCCTGCTCTGTGGCTGCCGTGCTGACGGACTGGCTCACCACTGTTTACGGCTGTGCAGCTTTGATTCTCAGGCTACATGATGCTTTCGCTTCTAAAAAGCCACTCGTCTCTAATTGCTGCACATCAATTTGCTTTTGTTTCCAAACACTCCGCAGCTGCACCACACGCCCAGCTGAATCCGGGGCACGTCTCCGCTGCCCGTTTGCTTCCCTTCTCTGGCTCCCCGCAGCAGTTGTTTGGATCTCTTGCTACATTCATCCTCTCCCTACAGTCCATTCAATGGTGCTGACATGCAGCGAATACCAGAGAGAAGATGCAATAAATGTTATCTTAACATTTTGTGGGGGCCGGAGCTGTGGTGTAGTGGGTAAAGCCACTGCCTGCAGTGCCGGCATCCCATATGGGCGCCGGTTCAAGTCCCAGCTGCTCCACTTCCCATCCAGCTCTCTGCTGTGGCCTGGGAAAGCAGCAGAAGATGGCCCAAGTGCTTGGGCCCCTGCACCCATGTGGGAGGCCTGGAAGAAGCTTCTGGCTCCTGGCTTTGGATTGGCGCAGCTCTGGCCATCGTGGCCATTTGGGGAGTGAACCAGCAGATGGAAGACCTCTCTTTATCTCTCTGCCTCTCTGTAACTTTGCTTTCAAATAAATAAATCTTTAAAAAAATTTTGTGAGGTGTATGCAGGCCAATTGAGCTTGTGTGATGACAACATATAATTATTCCAAATGTTGATAGGTATGTTTATTTATATTCATAAATAATAAAAAGTCAGTTAATTATGTTACAGCTTTAAATTTAAAAAGCACTTAGAAGAATGGTGCTACCAAAATAAAATAACAGGTACGGCCACTGCCTGGGATACTGGCATCCCCTGTGGGCACCCGTCCGTGTCCCGGCTGCTCCACTTCTGACCCAGCTCCCTGCTAATGGCCTGGGGAAAGCAGAAGAAAATGGCCCAAGTGTCTGGGCCCCTGCCATCCACGTGGGAGGCCCAGATGAAGCTCCCGGCTTCATCCTGGCCCAGCCCTGGCCACGGCGGCCATCTGGGGAGTGAACCATTGGATGGAAGCTCTCTCTCTGTCTCTCTCTCTAACTCTGACTTTCAAATAAATCTTTAAAAGAAATAAAATGATGCATTTCTAGAAATGCTTAAAAACCCTTATTTGCTATAAATGTACATTCTCCTGCGAGCATCGGTCCTTGATTAACAGTTCATGTACAACGGAGGAATTTTATTTTCATTCTCTCATTCATCGCTTTCAGTGTTCTTAGCTGATATACAATGGCTGTCACGTTAACTATACACACACGCTGTTCTGATTTTTATTCTGTGGTTAAAAATTCCAACAGTTTACACAAGTGTTCCTAGCGGAATTATCTGTCATAGCCAACATGTGGAAACAAGTGTAGTAACTGATGTGTGGATAAGCAGAACGCATGCAACTGTGCAATGGAGTGTCACCGAGCCATGGAGAGAAGCGAGCTACTGACGGCGCTGCGGCACAGAGGACCCGCGTGAGGAAGCCATGGCTCACAGGCCGCCTTCACAGGGAAGGTCCGGGACGCCAGGAGCTAAGGGGAGGGGCCGGGGAGTGAACTTTCCCAGGGGACGACAATGTCCCGGCGATGACCGAACAAGTCCAAGAATATCCTAAA